CAACAGTGAGACGCCCGTGTACCGCAAAAAAAAAAAAAAATAGAACTACCATACGACCAAGCAATCCCACTACTGAGCATATACCCTGAGAAAACCATAATTTAAAAAGAGTCATGTACCACAATGTTCATTGCAGCACTATTTACAATAGCCAGGACATGGAAGCAACCTAAGTGTCCACCGACAGATGAATGGATAAAAAAGATGTGGCACATATATACAATGGAATATTACTCAGCCATAAAAAGAAACGAAATTGAGTTATTTGTAGTGAGATGGATGGACAGTCTGTCATACAGAGTGAAGTAAGTCAGAAAGAGAAAAACAAATACCATATGCTAACACATATATATATGGAATATTTTAAAAATGGTTATGAAGAACCTAGGGCAGGACAGGAATAAAGACACAGACATAGAGAATGGACTTGAGGATGCGGGGAGGGGCAAGGGTAGGCTGGGATGAAGTGAGAGAGTGGCATGGACATATATACACTACCAAATGTAAAACAGCTAGCTAGTGGGAAGCAGCCGCGTAGCACAGGGAGATCAGCTCAGTGCTTTGTGACCATCTAGAGGGGTGGGATAGGGAGGGTGGGAGGGAAACGCAAGAGGGAGGGGATATGGGGATATATGTATAGCTGACTCACTTTGTTATACAGGAGAAACTAACACACCATTGTAAAGCAATTATACTCCAATAAAGATGTTAAAAAAAAAAGGAAAAAGAATTCAAAACAGGGCTGACTTTCAGGAAGCCAGCTTCTTAAGGTACATTCTCCTCACACTGTATAAAAAAAAAAACATGAAAATGTGCTCAACATCCTTAATTATTGGAGAAATGCAAATCAAAACTACAACAAGACACCACCTCGCACCATTCAGAATGGCCATCATCAAACAGTCTACAAATAATAAATGCAGGAGAGAGCATGGAGAAAAGGGAACCTTACTGTCTTGGTGGGAATGGAAATTGGTAACAGCCACTATGGAGAACAGTATGGAGGTTCTTTTAAAAACTCAAACTAGAGCTACCATATGATCCGGCAATCTCACTGTTGGGCGTATATCTGGAGAAAACCATCATTCCAACAGACACATGCACCAGACATTCGTGTGCTATTTAAAAGAGCCAAGACAGAGAAGCAACCTTAATGTCCACTGACAGAATAATGGACAAAGATGTGGTACATGCATAGAATGGAATATGACTCATCCATTAAAAAGAACAAAATAATGCCATTTGCAGAAACATGGATTGACCTAGAGATGATCATACTAAGGGAAGGAAGGAAGTCAGAGAAAGATAAATGTGATATCACTTACATGTGGAATCTAAAGAAAAAGTGATTCAAATGAACTTATTAACAACACAGAAACAGACTCATAGAGTTCGAAAACAAACTTATGTTTAGAAAAGGTAACGACACAAACACAAATGCTCACCAACCAATCAAGAAGCAGGCTATTTGTTCAATAGGATCTGGCCAGGAACTGTCACCAATTCCACAAGTGAAACAGATATGTGACTCCTTCACTTATTTGATGCATAAAATGACCCCATCATCTCCTGGGACACGGATGATGTCCACAGCCCTCCTGCGTGGCCACCCTTTCTGTGTTTCACGTCCTTGGCTTTTTAAACAAGGAATTTGTGTAGATCGAGGAGAGAACGGGCACCGAGGCCAGAGAAGTAAGTAACCAGAGGGGGGCCCCAGCAGCACACTCGGACAATCACCCCGGTCCTCCACCCATCAGGCTCCTGCCCCCGCCCTCCTTACCCTCCTCCCCGGACACATCAGCCTCGGCCTCCTCCACCACAGCCTCTGCTTCCTGTTCCCTTCCCAGAGCATCAGCCTCGGCTCCTCTCACGCATGACCCCTGTCCGTCCACCACCCCTGACACTGAGGGCGTCTGCGTCTCCTGCGAGCCTGGGGACCAGGCCTTCATCTTTCTACCAGTGGCGCCTTGTACAGCTTCCAATCCACAACGGTCACAGCAAATGACAACTGCATGAATGAATGAATCCTTGCTAGCCAAACCTCCTTAGGCCACATCTTTAGGAAAACCACCCAGTTTTGAATATAATACTCTCCCTTTCTTCATAGTAGATCCATGAAACATCATCAACACTATCTTACTGCCTACAAAACTACTGACTATAACAGGATTCCTTCAAAGATACAAATGGCATAGAGACAGCACTGCTTATGAACCAAAAAACCTTTTTCACTTTAAGATTTCTTCTCAATTTAATGACAGTGCAGACGAGGCTTGTTTCCTTCAGCAGATTTCAAAGTATAAACAGTGAAGATTCCAATTAATCAAGTAGTAACTGAGTTTTCCCCCCTTGTTGCCACCCTTTTCCATCTGCACAGTTTCTTTCTGATACTCTTATCTTTCACTCTGCTCCTGAGTTGACTTTTATATTAACAAGCCCTGCTTCTCAAATTGAGGTACGTGGTAGGAATGCAACTGAGGTTATTATACTGAGAAAACAGCCACATCCAATCCCTGGCACAACTTGGGGGGGGGGGGG